TCTGCCGTGAGACTGAGCTGGGCTTTTGTGCCTCTGAGTCTTGGACTTGGATTGTGTCAACAGCGGCCACAAAAGGTACTCATTTGTAGTGAAATTTTGGTCAACAAGGCATGACCTTGCTCTGCTTTTCCCCATCCCCGCTTTTTGTTGGTGCAAGTGTGGGAGAAAATTGCTTTTATATTACTTGAAGCTCGGTTAGGTTTTTTCTTGGCTTTTTTCCATTCTTTTCCATCGGTTCATGTGTCACTATGTGGCTTACACATTGTTGCAATGCCTGCTGTGACTTACACTTCCGCCGTGGCAGCTGCAGACACGCCCACTCTCTCTGCGAAAGAACCCCCTTTCATTTTTCTTACACGCACCCCCTTTCTGTTTGGCAGCCTTTTGGGGTCAGTTTTCTCCATCTTGGCACGCAGTTTCCCGGCCGAGTTCTTGTCTTGTCATTGTTTGTTTAATTTTGTATGCCGGATATCCCGGCGTGTTTGTGCCATTGTCCTGCTGTCAACGAAATGCCAGCAACAATAACAGTAACATAAAGTGTGGGCGTGGCAGGAGCAGGAGCCCACCCTGCCCACACTGGCCCCTCACCATTCCATCAATGTTTATGCCGCTGACAACAAAAGAAATTAAATTGCCAACACTGAAATTCAATTGTATCTTTCTCTTCCCTGGGCCTCACTCAAAATTCCTCAAATTTTCTCTAGAGCGGGGACGAGGACGGACCATGACGACATCTTGAATGGTTATTGCCGCTGACTTATTGGAACATTGATTTTCCCTTTTGTTGGGGGCTTCAATTGGAGGAAGTAAACATTTTCGGCGCTTTCAATTTATTAAAAGGCGCGTGAGGCAGCCGTAAAAAGGTCAATGATTATTATGCCTCCCATGCAAAAAGGCAGACAGTGTCCAAAAATAGTCAATGCTGGGAGTCGATCTTGTATGGTATCCAACAGGGGACGTCCAGAGAGGAAAATTAAGTCATAAAAAGGAAGACATTTGCATATAATTTCGTAATTGCCAAGTTAATAAGCCACCTTTTACGGTTGCTATGAAAATACCTGACCTTATCTACTCCCATAAAAATAAAGAATTTGAGATGTTTTATCATTATTTGTTAGTTATTTTAATTTTTTTGTGTATCAATTTGTTGGACGGGTCTCTGAAGTAAGTTTTGATCCAAACGAATTCCTGTGGTGCTTCATAGCGACGAAAAAAGAGTTTTCATCTGAATAGAATAGAGTTACTTGATAGTGAAGTACCGCCATATTAAAATGGAAATTTAATTCGAAGACTGCCATTATGCAATGCCTTTGTTGGCCATAAATCAACATTCAACACAACCGTAACATCCGCCGCTGTTTTCAATTTTTCAACCGTTTTCAGTTTCGTTTTCATCCGCTTTCAGCCTCTTTGCCATTTTCCATTAAAGCCTACTTTGTAGCGCTTTAACTGCAATTAAAAGCATTAAATGTGCGCATAATTAAAAAATGTTGCTCTCTTTATGACACATTAACATATTTGCATATAGTATTCATTTAACCATAACTGCAGTCTTTCCGCCATGCCTGATCTCTGATGGTTAATTTATTTATTGGGACAAGCCCGACAAAGGCAAACGATTAAGCAGAACACAATAGAGCATCCCTGCCAGGATGACAAACAATTGGGCACCCGCAAAGGGCCAGGAGCGTGCTGGGCGACATGTCACATTTGCATTCCGCCTAGGAGTGTGTCATTGTCCAAATAGCATCTAATTCGGATTCGGATTGCTACCCGAGAGATACACATTCATCAGATGCATGCTGCATCTGCTGCTGCTCCATTCGATTACAGCCAACGTATAATTGTGCAACGCTAATCAAAGCCAAATCGGGCCGGGCCGGTCCGGGCCAGCGGGCGTATTGATTAACATGGCAAAGCACTGTCCGACTCCATTTAAGTTACACACATGCACTCTCAGATGCATTTGTATCTGGGGTGGGCATGCTGCATTACATATTATAGCCATTAGTATTACGGAATTAAGGCGGACCATACTGGCGGCAACCAAAACCAGGCACCCGAGCTGAAGCCAGTGTTCAATAGAGAACTTTTCGAGTTTCGTTAAAGAGCTGAAAGCACCTTTAATTGACACCAAGGTAACGCATAAATTTCGGTTGGGTACCTCCAGGTGTGGTAAAGATACTAAATGACTGCCACAAAGACTGCATACATTCAAATGCAACCGGAAATTGTCAGAAATCAAAGGGCGAGGAGAGACAAGTTGTATGGGGAAACACTTGTAAAAATCCGGTCTAGGATTTAAAGCAAATTAAGTAGTATTGTCAAAAAAGTATATGTCGTTCTTAGAGTTTTTCTAGTCCATAATTTAAATAAAATATCTCCACTAAAATATTTACATTGTGTTGTATTTAGGAGAACATGTTTCTCCAAGTGCAGGTTGGCGCCTGGAATGTGTGAGAGAATTATTATCTTGTACTTGCCCATGTCAAAGAAAATTTGCATTTTTCGGTCTGACAAAGGGCGGCTCTTTGGGAGCAGGCCGGGGGCATCCACACGAGGCAGCGTTGCAGACAGGGCTCTCTGTGGTTCGATGTCAACGTGTCCTCGTCGCTACCAATACCAAATTGTCTGCCACAATGGACTGACAAGGTGCTAGATTGCATACCGTATAAATGTGTGTGCCAGAGTGTTTTAAATAGAGCAACAATGTGCAATGACAATGAGATGAGAGCTGCCAGCAAATGTGACACAGATACGAGCTGAAACTTTCAAATGTGCAGACAAACATCCATTGAGGGCTTATGAGTGGAATGAGTGTGGCCTCCAAAGGTCCAATATGGCATGACGAAATTTTTAATTAAGGCCGTTTCCTTTGAGCTTCAGTTGAAGTTTCAGTTGAGTTTATTGCCAAACACTATCAGAAATACATTATATGAGATTACCTTTATCAATTACTAACTTTGAAATTGGAAATTCTGAATACCACGTCGATTCCTGGCTTTCCACATTTCTGAATTTTAAAACTATTTTTAAGAACAAAGTTGCAAGTCTTCGAAACAATTTTAATTAAAAGTTTCTTCTGAGTCGGAATGTCTTTTCTGTTTTTCCTAAAAAGAAATTTTCGGAAGACAGAGCTTATAACTTTTTATGGTTTTAGTAATCCGGTGACGTTACACCTTTCCTCGAAATTTAATTTGATTAATGTTTTAATCACTTGTCCCCGTGGATAATTTAGCTGTGCTCGACAACATGGCCTTGAATCCGTCGTAAACACAGAGTATCGTTTATAGCCCTCAGCAGACACAACATAACAATATACTACACACCCATATGGCACTTCCTTCGGGCTCAGTCCCATCTGCCAATCCGCCCATTTAATTGTGCGGTTTCTCAGCCATTTTTATGTGTTTTAATTTTCATTGGAGCACTAAAAACTTGTCACCGTCGTCAATGTCAGCGGAACTGGAGTTTCCCATTTGAGGGGGAGAAATTGGAAAACACGGAAAAGGGGAACCTGAAAAGGGGGACCAGCTACAACACGGTCTTGAAGAGGCCAATAAACACTCCTATAAAATTCTCAAATCGCACGTGTTGCGTTTGTCAAGGGGTTGCCTCCATAGCCAATGCCGTTGGCTCGGCAGGGAGACATACAATACAATAAAACTGCTAAGTGCATGGGCATGTCGTTGTGGCGTATAGCTCTATATACGCGCCTCACGGTCCCCGCTATATGTATATGCATTAATCGAGGTGCGCTGCAGGCTGGTCATAAAAACTAAGTGTTGAATCGGTGCACTTAAAGAATAAAATAAAACAGCTCATGGCCAGAGCTTTAAAGATCTAATATTCATTAGTGTTACCACTACAATAAAAATTTAAATAAAATATCTTAAGCTATTTAGTTTTTATAAACTAAAAGCATTATTTTTCTACATGTATTGTATTTTTTGTGATTCTGAATGGAAGTATAAATGGAGGCAGCATCGATAAGCCGCCAGAAACAGTGCAGCGCGTGTGCCACATAAAAATGGCATTTTGACATGGCCACCGAGTGGGGTAAACAGGGTAGGGGCAGTTGGGTGGCAGGTGGGGTGGCAGTTGTTGGCTAATGAGCATTATGAATGCTTGCCATGATGTCATTGCACTTGAGTGGATCTAGTTGTGTTTTCCTTTATGCAAGGAACAACCTTCACCGCCACTCCCCCAATGCTAGAGTCTTACAAAACGCTGCGGCAATGAAAGCCGGAAAATTTGTTGCATGGGGGTGGCAAAAAGTAATTGCAACTTAAATAAACAAAACGTCGGAGCGGCGACCGCAGGGCGGAGTGCAAACAGTGGCAGTAACGGGTTAAGTGGCAGCATCCTCCAGTCATTTGAAAGGGTTAAGCATGCCTTGCCCCACACACACAGACATAGCAGTGCCAGTGCCAGTGCCAGTGTGTATGAAGTTGAAGTGGATGCCACTTGTGCACAGCCTCATTAGTAGGAACAAAAAATTCGCTCACAAAGCCCTCACTTTGTTCTCGTTAAATTACACTCTGCTTTTTGGTTTGTTTGCAGTTCGGTTTTTGTTTCAGATGATTTGTTATTGTTTATCATGTTTATGTTTGCATTGGCACTGGAGAATTTCCTGTTTGTCGCGGTGTTGCCGCAGCATGTTGCCGCAACATGCGTCTGGCTTCGGCAACACGCTGTCCCCCGGCACTTCCAGGGCGCTAATTTTGGAAATGTTAGGGCTGTCTTTTTCGGCTTTCGGGGTGTGTTCTTGGGGAACGGCCTGATAACTCCTCAGTCGTTTGTCAACTTGTCGTAGGTGCGGAAGTCCTATTAGTTCGGTTCTGTTTCGGTTTTGTTTACACGAAAAGGAGACAGTTGTATAATTTAATTTAATAAAGTTTATCAGAAAATAGATTTTCAACAAGGTGCTGTGGATTTTAAAAAAATTTAAATTTAATGTTGAAGATTTTGTTAAATTGCCTCTTAAAATATATTATTTTCTTTTATTTGGCTTTTATTTCCGCTTTTTGTTCGCATACTAGAAATGCTATTAAAGTGACAGCTGTTCTCTTTAAATATACACCGTCTAAAGTTTGTTTATTATCCATTTCGCTTTGCAGTGTACTTCCGGCCAAAACAGCTGGACACAAAAGCCATTTATGAGTGTGTGAAGTGAAGAACCCAAAAACCACCAAATGGATTTTGTCTAAACTCTCTGCAGAAAAACTAGACCAGAGGAAAACCATCAGAAGCAGAGCCATTAACCAGCGGAAATTGGAATGTATAAACAATCAGCAAAATGTGCAAACTCGTGGAGTGCCAATCAAAAGCCAACTTGAGTGAAAGTGAAAAATCGTGGTGCGGGGAATATATTAATTATCCGGCTGTTTATTAGTAAAGTTTTCCCAAAGCGGCAGACAATTTATTTATGGGCCAACTTGCCAATGCAAAGAAAACCAAGTTGCTGCCAGTCGGGCATTAATAATTTGCATATACCATTTCCCCCAACCTTTCCCCAGCCACCAGACCAACACAAAGTAGACAGTGCGGCGTGTGAAGTTGAAGTGTTTATTAAATAGTCTTGCTACAAATGCGAGACATTTGCCCGAGCACCAAAGTCCTCGCATTTTCCCCCATAGAAATGTTAGAGCTGCAACTGCGAGAAGATTTGTCCGCCACTGACTTGGGAGGAATCTGCGAAATGCGACCCCAAAGAGCCACGGATCCGGGCCATCGTCAGAGCCGGAGAAAATGCGACTCCAACCGCTGGACTCTCTCTGCGAATTTCTGCCTGCTGCTGCTAGCTGTACTATTTCTGAGCATGGGTAAGTATCGTTCTTGTTTGGATTAATCCCGATGCCAAGTATAATGTTTACCAAGCGGATAACATCAAAGTTTTAAGTTGCCATTTTATGGCCCACATTGAAAATTCAAAGCAAAGGCTTATTTTAAAAATATTGTTCTCAAAATTTTGACACGAACTATCTCAACAATATTTTAGGTTTTAATATTAAAGTCATCAAGTATCTGCTTGTCTGAACTATTTTCAAAATCAACAAATAAAAGACCACAAGCACTCGACTTAGAGTTTCATTTGTACAATTTAATGAAGTATTTGTCAGGCTTCGAATGCCACTTCGTCCCTCCGAGAACTGTCATCCCTTTTCAAGTGGTATCAGGCCATCTGGGAGGCAGGCATACTGTCAACCCGAACCCCTAACTCAATTGACTGCGTCTGCTCCACTTTTTGTACGTTTTTTTCGCCAAGTCCAATGCGATGGATGCTCAATTAAGTGACTCCAGTGTGGTCGCGAGATTCCCATGCATTTAAAGAAGCCTTTGCCCGACGAAAACCGAAATTAAAAGGGTACCCGAAACACATACTCCGGCTAGATGTAGACACAGAAACAATCGATACTTGAAATGGCAGTCGAAACAACACTTTGACATAATAAAATACAAATAAAAGGGCACAACACAGCCGCCAATTGATTGACGAAGTGGCAAAGATCTGAAGAGAGTGGAGAGTGGAAAATGGAAGCGGGAAAAGGGAAATGGGAAAGTGCTGGGCAATAAAAAGGATTGACAGCCAGAGGCAGTCGTCGATTTCTAAGCGGTGGCGAGGTGTCATTCCGCCGGATAGGAGGGAGACGATGGGGATCCACTCGACTGGCTGTCAATGACAATCAACAGCGGAATCAGATTCCGCACACACTCCATTCCGGAGCGGGATCTGGAGCGCTAATGCTGATGCTGAATGCTTGTAAAAAGTTTTTAATGACCCTCCAATGCCGTGTCGCCATGGCCACAAACCTAACAGAATCGTGGGGAATCGAATCGATGCAGGCACGGGGCTGACAAAAGGGTCGTTTCCACACTTGCCAAAGCAAATCTGTGTCAGGCTGTTGCTTCATTACTCGGCTGCTAATGAACAGCTTAAGCAGCATCGCGTCCGATTGTGCAGCGTATTTCAATTCGGGGGAATTCTAGTCAGAAATGCTGCAGTTGCAGTTTCTAGCCGAGTAAATGCTAGCACAAAAATGGAGAGCTTCCTTAAAAGGTTATAGTCTTCAAGGAATTGCATATTTATTATAGTTTTCAACGATTTACGTTTTATTGAAAAAGAATTCATTGGTTATAAATTTATCAGTAACTATGCAGGTTTATTTTCAAAAATTGAACTCTAATTTTAGCCTCAAATATCTGAGTGGCATTTTATCGAAGTGGATTCCCGGCTGCACCGATTGGAGTGCATTTTTCGGCACTCGAAGTGGGGGTGAGAAAAACAAAGTGAGTCGGGGCAGAGATTTGTGTTCCGTGATCCGTGACTCAATCGATTGCGTTGTTGTAGGTCCTTGGCACTTCACGGCATTGTGAAGATTTGCAGTCGGTGTGCGGGGAGTGAGTGAGTGCATCAGTGGAACCGAAAACCGGGCCAGAATCAGGAACACAGGCGTTAGAGTCAGCGCTTTATTAGATGGAGGCCGCGGCGCTAATGGATGGGGTTAATGGGCTAGGGTTGCCGGGAAAGTGGTGGATTAGTAAAAGTGAATTAGAACCGAAAATGGGAATCTATTGTTGTGATGTACGACGGACGGCAGGCAATATCCACGCTCCCAAAAGAAGTGCGGTGATAAATCAGTGCATTGAGTGCCATGATTACTAATAAATTTGATTTGATTTACCATTTGGCTTTTTACGGTCCAGTGATTGTGTAAACTCGTTTCCATCAAATTATAAAATTGGAAAAGTGCAAAATAATCGGATGTATATACCCATAAATCCCATCAGTACACAACACACAGATCAATTCGTAATCAATTTTGTCATTTGCTAACTAATAACAGAATGCAATTCAACTATAATTTTGACGTTCGCCCGAATACTACTCCTCTATTGTGTATGAACAGGGTTTTAGCTGGAGCCGACTAGATATTACTCTAGAATGGAGTACAAAAGAATATTACCTACTGAAAAAATGTATGAAAAACTTTGAAATAAATAATAGTTTTAGTCCATAGAGATTTTTATAATTACCAAGTATAATTCATATTATTTACTAAGACTTTATTGAACTACTGATTGAGCTGATATCAGTCAGAGAGTAAAGAATTATCTCTGAAATATTAATTGCAAAATAATATTGACAGACGGGAAACAAATTACAAATAAAATATGTAAATTTCTAGCGGCTCTACGTTGTGAAAATAGCAGTGGCATAAATTCGAGGGCGCCAACACATTTCGGCCAGCAATCAATTTATGCACTTGACAAAAATTTCAGAAAAGGTAAATCGTAATAGTGTATCTGTTCCAGAAGAGGGGTTTTTTCCGGGTTTTCTATGGGCCGGGGGCTTAGCCCCGTCTGTGTTTGTTTATTATTAATGCAATTTGTAATTATTTGTTTTGGTGGCATGACTGGTATGCTTATACACCCTCCTAACCCGATCTCGACTGTTTGCCAGCTTGTTTATTTGTTTGCTTGCCACAGCCATAAAACGCAATTATCTCACACAAAGAACAAAGCAGAGTGCAAGCGAATTGCAGCCGGGGGGATCACCTCTTACCCTATCCAATGTCTATCCCCTTCTGAAACTTCCAAATGTGGATATTGCCCCGACCCGCCTTGGTTATAACGAGAGTGTCAGCTAGAGTTTTCGAAAAGCTGCAAAAGTTGTCGCCAGCATCATCCGAGCATTTCGCTTTTCGCATTTGGGTTGCCATAATTAACTTATTTTGTACATTAGCAACAGATTTTGTTTATTAACGCATGTGCGCTTGCTTTCAGTAATGCGATACCATTCACCCACCCGACTTCGTACCTCCACAAGGGCCGGGCTTTTGGCTTTAATGTGCGCCGGGGGCAGGGACCACGGGGCGCATACTTATCTTTTGGCATTGCGAAGAGAGTTTATTTGTTTTCTGCTTGTGGTCGGTGGGTTTGCTGGGTTGGTAGGTTGGTGGGTCGGTGAGACCGTGGGTTGCCATTTTGTGCGGCGTCTGTCGCATAATTTATTTATCATTAGCAAAATTTGGCAAGCATTGGAATGCCTTACCCAGCTTTCCACTGCTGCTCCCCAATTTTCCGCAATTCCTTCCCAAGACGGCTCAGTTGTGTCTGTGTATTTGGCTAAATAGTTGAAATAATTAGGCTCATTAGAAGTTTTGTAGGTTTCTGGCCGGAGTGCTGCCTTGATTGACAAGTGCAAATTGGTATTAATGCAGAAATTCGAGGAACTTCAAAAGCCACAGGCAAAAGGAGAGTTGGTTGAACAAAAGTTTCTGCGAAAATTATAAATTAAATGAGATAATTTGTGATTTGCAAATATTTTACAAATTTCGTTGTTTTTTTTTTTTTATTTAGCAATGATTTTGATATTTTAATTGTAATGGAAAACCATTTAAAACCAAATTGTAATTAAAAACCTCCAGATAACGTTACACAAATCTTTTGTGCGTCTTGATACATTAAATTCGGTTGAAAAATATGTATACCGGAAAATCCTGATGTTTGAACTCGATCGGGCAATAGTTCACGATTAATTAAGCAACGTTGCCTAAAAATATTTGGAACAAATCAGAGCGACAAAATCCCAACTGGCATAGCCACAGTTTTGTTTCAGTTGTTTTGCTCGATTTTTATTTTGTATACTTCTGGCACTGGCACTCCCCAAAAAACAAAAACTTGTTGTTTGCAGAATCCAAGTGGAAATACTGTGCGAAATGCAACAGCCGCAACAAAAACGGCATAAACTTTTAACAATTGCAAAACCAAATAAACAAAACGCTGGGCCAAACAAAAAGAAAACACTAAAAACTGCTGCAGGCTATAAATCTGCAATGGCTGTTGGCGGGCTGTTGAGGGGGTCCAAGGGTTATTTGCTCGGGCGGGGTTAAGGGGATTTCTGGGTGGAAAAAACGCCACGAGGGCCTTTGCACAGACCCATCCGCATCCTCATTCAAAGCAACACTCACACATTATGGGGCGAGCGCCTGCTGCGTAAATAACTAATAAGGCTCGGGGATAAATTTCAAGTGCAATTTTGTGAGCATCGTAACCAAATATAACTCGAAACAAAACCAAAAGCAAACACAACAAAAAACAAAGGCAAATTTAACGCCCGGCGGCGGTGGGCGGAAATATCCAGAGGAACACAAAAGTTAAGCGTGGCAAATGCACGAGTTGCAGTTTCTCTGCGTTTTTGTGTGCAGCACGTTTCTATGACTTAATTAAAATTATGAATGTTTTTGCCATTGCCTTGCTATGCTACACGGCCAAAAACCAACCAGAAATTGGTCGGGCTGGCGGCGAACGCAGAACAGAACGGAACAGGCCAGGACAGGACAGGATGTCCATGGCAAATGCGCTTTTTGCCAGCGAGCCAAACAAACTAGGCAAACAAACAACTAGTAGCATCAATTTATGCATAAATCAGAAGGCACAAAAACCATGCCAAATTGTAAACATAAAACGAAATGGATACAGTCCCAAATCCAATCCCAGCCCCTCGCCGCCCTCGGATTTCCCACATTGACACCACATTTGTGCGACAGTTCCGAGATCTGTAAAATAGTTACCAAAAATGAAATTTCCGAATACCATTGTCGCTTATCGCCCCATGTTGCTGCACTTTCCGAATTCCCATCCCCACTTTCCCCATTTCTGGTCGAATTTTCATTTGAAATAGCTCTCGGATTAATTTTCTAATCAAACACAATGTTGGGACCTGGGTTTGGTCAGTCGAAAATTCATTATAACTTTTATGTGCAATTCATCCGACTGTAAATCGTAAAGCTTGCGGGGGAAATGGATCACATATTGGTAA